GTGGTCGTGTGTGTGTGGTCGTGTGGTGTGTGTCGTACGGTGTCGCTGTCGCCGTGGGCCAACACGAGCGACTGTCTATCGCAGCTCATGCAGAACATGAACACGAAGTCGGCCAACTTCTTCTTCTCGGTCGGTGTGCGGCCTTGAACGACGGCGTCGGACTCGGGCAGGCGGTGGCCCCTCTGCCGCCAGATGTCCCAGAAGAAGTCGGCAAAGGTGGTCGTGCTCTGTCGCACCGCGGCCGCACCGGCGGCGGCAAGGACCGACGCCACTTGGTTGGGGAAGTAGCCCTTGGCCCGGTCCTCCTCGAACTTCTCATTGGAGTAGGCCCACTCCAGCTTGGCCTCGAAGAACTTCCACGGGTTGTAGCCCTGAACCCCGCACACCATCAGTCAAAGGACACGACACGACACGACCAACGACACGACACAACACGACACAAGCGCGCGTGATTGAGATTCCGTACGGGTCTTCGGGAGTAGTAGTAGCGTTGGCCGTCGGAGGTGACGGCGGAGATGAACTCCTCGCTGCCCTCGGGCGATTCCCACGAGGAGACGTACCAGCGGCCCTGGTAGCAGTAGAGCGTGGCCATCGTGCCGTCCACTTTCTCCGTCACTGCGCAACACGCATCACCGCACACGCATCATCGCACACGCACACGCACGACCACGTATCATCAACGTATGACACGACACACGACACACGACACACGACACACGACACACGACAAGGGGAGGCGTCAATGAAAGAGTAGTAGCGCGATCAATTGGTGCGGCTGGCCTGGGAGTACCGGTGGCGTGGGGCCAGGAGATGTGGTCGATGGTGGGGAGGGCTTCGACGCGGTAGTGGCTGAAGAACTTGCCGTAGGGCATCACCACCACGCGCCACTCTTCGGCGCTGTCGCTGCCGCCGTCGCCAGCGCCGGCGCTCAGGCGCTCCAGCACCAACCCGTACGCACACTCCCGCACCACTGGGTCGTCCTGGGGCGAATCGAGTTTGTCGGCGCACAGGTGGAACAGGTTGCGGTGGTCCCGGTGCTCTGTCACGACGATGCTGAGTTCGCGGGTCAGCGCCTCCAGCCCGAACGCACGCACGTAGTCCAGGGTCTTTAACGATCCCGCTTCCCGATTGGCTCCTGC